GCAGGTGCTGGCCGTGGGCTCCGTGGCCAGCCCCCTCCCCAGGTTCTCCCCGGGTCGGCCTCGGGCACTGGTCCCTGCACCCGGAAGGTGTATTGAGCAGAGGTGCTCTCTGGGGGGGGCTCCCAGGCCTGGGCTGCACCCACGGCCATGCCCGAGTCCTATCTGCCAGCAGCCCCAAAGCCCTTGGCGTGAACTCAGATCCTGAGCAGCCTTGGGCGGGGGGAGAAGGGAGGGCACAGGTGAGAACGATGGGCCATCTCCCACCCGAGGAGGGAGCCCTGCTGGTGAGGCCCGTCCCTCCCGCAGCGGGCCCTGCATTTGGCGCTTTCTGAGCACAGCTGCGTGGCTCTCAGCCTTAGGAAGCTGGGCCCACCGCCTCCTGGGGGGTGGCCAGGGCCGGGGAGGATGCTGGCTGTGTGGGAAGGTGTAGGGTGGGCTGCCAACTAGGATGGGACCCAAACCCTAACTCTGAGGTGCTCCACCCAGCCCCTGCGGGGGTCCCCTGGCTGTCCCCACAGCTCCCACGGTGCCCAGCCACCTGCCTGAGCTTCCACTGGCCACCCCAGGGCTGCTGTACCCCCACCCAGTCCCCCAGCCAGCAGGGGGGGCTGGGGGTGGAGGGAGGAGAAAACCACCGTGCGTGCCAAGTCTGGGGCAGGGACAACTCCCAGACACGGGGCAGGAGCCACGCAAGGGAGCGGGTCACGGAGGCGGGTGTGGCTGGGCAGGGCGGGGGCCGCTGGCGGTGTCCAGCCCTGGCCCTGGGACGTGAGAAGAGCGATGGACTTGTTTGGCAGCCACATTGTAACATGTATTTAAAAGCATTAAAAATAGCTGCTGCTGTGAAACCCCCGCTGCCCGTGGGGATGGAGTTTACTGGGAACCACGGGTGGGTGGTGCGGGCCACTTGGCTGGTTGGCAGCTGGGCCCAGGGCTGGCGGGCTGCTCCTGGGTTCTGCTCAGGATGCCCCCAATGGGGGCCAGCCCTTGGCCTCTGGCCGCTCAGCTCTGAGTCTGTGGGGCCAGGAAGCAGAGTCCTGGGCACAGGCCGAGCGGCTCCACGGGGAAGCAGAGTCCTGGCCGCAGGAAGGGCAGGTGGAGAAGGCGAGAGCCCTTCTCGCCGGGAGTGTTAGGGGTCCTGAGGCCGAAACACACCTTCCTTGATTCTCCAGCTCAACAGTGCCCGCCTGACCTCCCGCCCGCCAGGGCGTCTGGTTAATAAGCAGAGCGGTTGGGGGCTCCCAGTGGGGGCCACCCCGTTAGTTTCCAGGTTGTAGCACAATCGCACTTAAGACGGTTTCGGTTGTGTTTCCAGGGTCTGTCTCTGTCGTAAACTGAAATGTTAACAGAATAGCAGCTGGGCCTCCCGGGCTCGGCCACGCAGGGCGAGGGCAGGGCTAGAAGGTGGACTTGGAGTGTCCGAAGATGCAGATGGGGAAGTGCTTGACGTGGGAGGACCACTGGGCCGCCAGCTGGAAGAACTTCACGTCGTTCCACTCCACGCCGTCGATGAGGACTGCGGGGACAAGACCGCCTGACCCGCCTGCCATGGGCCAGCAGCGCGCCCACCCCTCCAGCCGGGGCCTGACTCCCCCAGCGACCCCCAGGCTCTCGGGGGACGAGGACCTGCTGGCCAGGCCTTTCTGCCGCCTGCCCTCTGAGCCACCGTGGCCACCTCTCCCTGGCATGGGGGCCGCTGGTCCTCACACCGGCTGCCCCAGCAGGGCCTGCAGATGGTGGGAGACATCCTCTGGTGGAACCAATCAGGGCAGAAGGCAGCGTTCTCAACCCCCAGGGTCACCAGCACGAGCCGAGCCCGCGGACAGGGGACCCCCCGAGCGCCCTTCTGTCCCAGGCAGAGCACCCAGAGCTCCACACGCGCCTCTTCCGGAGGAGCAGAGGGCCGCGAAGCTACTGCTCAGAACTGGAAAAGCTGTCGCACACTCAGGGCCTCAAAGAAACGTGACCAAAGCCCGGCTCGAGCAACAGGCGTTTCACAGCAAAAGGAGGGCACGCGCTGAGCTGGACTTAGAAAGCTGCCCAGCTCCGTGGGGCTGCCTTCCTGTTCCAGACAGAACCGGGGCCCTGGGTCAAGGGTCGGCCGGGCCGGGGAGGAGAGGAGGCCGCGCTCACCCCGCAGCATGTTCTGCTGGTGCTTGGCTGTGCAGATGAGCCGGCTGATGCCCTCGATGCACTGGCTTTTCGACTCCACGTCCTTGTCCTTGGTTTTCTTGGGCAGAAACATCACTAGGAGGAAAAGGGGCCGTGCTGACCTGCTGCTTCCTCGGGGCCGATGGTGCCCCCCCTCGACAGTCCGCCACTCACCCTTCTTGTTCTTCTCCTTGGTGACCACGGTCATGGACATGGTGGGCGTGGCCGTGGCCTCGCCACTGCTGGGCAGCCTGCTGACCTGGAGAGACCGGAAGGTGCACTTGAGCGTGTTTTTGGCGGAAGGCACGTCTTTCTTCTCCGCATCTCTCTTCCTGTCTGTGGGCTGGGCTGCCGTCCAGTAATCCACCTGCAGCCCCATCAGCTCGGCGCCGACACCCTGGCTGGGGAAGCAGAGGGAGGCTCACCGTCCGGCCGCCGTGGACCGTGCGCCCGTGGCTGTGCAGGCGGAGGTGCCTCGTCACAGCTGTAGCCCATGAAGACGGGCAGCCGCGACCTCAGCGTCCATGCAGCGAGGGGCCCCAGGGCCCGCACACGTGTTGCCAGTGTGAGTTCTGCTCACAAGAGACCCGAGGGGCTGCTGACCTCCCCCTGGCACCTCCCGTGTGGTGGTCCCCAGAACCCGTCTGTGGACAGGGCATCCTGTTTTCTTACTCTGCGTGCTCCTGTCCCCGATGAAGCTGTCTGTCTCCTGAGCGAGCCCAGGACCTGCGCCCACCCCTACGACGGGGCATCCTTGTCCACAGCCCCCATGGTGCT